TGTCAGAGCATTAACTATGACTATAATCCTAATGTCATGTCCTTAAGGAAATTCACAGAAAGAGTGGAAAGAAAATGTACTCTTACAAGTACTAGTTTCTAAAAATCTAATCATTTAACTGGGTAAAATTTTCATTTTCTATGTGAACTGATTGGTTTTCTAAATTGTTAAGCCAAAATTAACCAAAGAAAAGTAAAAAATGTTTGACCAAATCACGTTAAGTAGCCAATACAATACACCTGAGTTATAAAGGTAAAATTGATATAAAATATATAAGTCTAATGTTAAACATGGACTTATTGGAGTATTGCTGCCTGGTTTTCTCTGAGGCCTCCTTATAATTCTTGTTATTAAGTTAACATGCTTTAGTTATTCCTATTGTTGGTCTTTAAATTTTATAAAATTGGGAGGGTCTGTTAGTAAGATTGTTCAATTTTGTATTGAAAAAGTTGTTAAAACAGGTTTTGTTGCTATTGTTGTTTGTTTGTACATGTTCATAAGCTTCCAGTCAGTATATGTGGATATATGTGCTTCTATTTTACAAGCTTAATAACTCCTCCAGAAAATATCAGACTGCCCAAGGTGGGATAGAAAAGATAAACATGGACAATTAATCAAAATTGGGCCTATGTATCAGATACAAAATCTAAAAACTCCTATCTGAAAACTTAATAGGGTAGAAGTCTCAGGGAATGGGGTGAGACAAGTTAAGGCAGGAGCTCCTGACTGCCTCCTCCCTCCCTGCCTGCTCGTACTCCTGTTTCTATTATAGTTAGGCCTCTTCCCCGCTGGACTCTCCCATTAGATAAATGATCAAGAGGTCTAACTACACAAATAAAAATTTAGATTAAGACTACATTCTCCAGCTAGGGTTTCTGTATAGTTAATAAAACAGATGCTTTGTAAAACCTGTAAACTGGGCTCCACCCTCTTGATAGTACTCAGCTACTCCTTGCAGGATCTACTGGAATTTAGTTTCATTTCTCAGTGTTAGAGCTCTTACAATTCAGAACAGGTTTGTTTTGTTTTGTTTTGTTTTTTAAGTTCTCAAATAACTCAAAAAAATGTTATAACAAATTGACCAGACACCTTAACCTTTGATTTAACTTTCACCTAAACAGCACCCAGTAGTCACTCGTGGTAATCCTGAAGGTTGGGAACTTCTTCAAGGGCAGGATCTGGACACAGCGAAAGAAACTCTGTTTCCAAAGTGGGCAGCCCGGGCACTAAACAATGCCCATGACTGGCATCCTCATGTTCCCCACTGTCCCAAGTGTGGGGCCGGTCGCTAGAGACAGAATGCACTGGCATCCTCATGTTCCCCACTTGTCCCAAGTGTGGGGCTGGTCTCTAGACAGAATGTACTGAGCTATGAAGGGAGCTCGGGACTTCTAAAGTCCATGCTGGCCTTTGGAACTGAGGATTGATGTGGTCCAAGACCCCTATAGCTCCCCATGGACATCTGACAATCTCACTGGACAAGCCTCAGGTAACCCTTAAAGTGACTAAGATTAATTTCTGTTGGAGGCTAAGGTTATTTTTTTAAAGTACAGTCATACTAACAACTGAAAGTTCTTGTAGCCACCTCAGACTCTGGCCTCCTATCCTTGTCCTCCTACACTCAGGAGGAGGAAAAATTGGTTGATAAACAGTGGGCTACTGGAGGCCCTGAAGAATGGTTGCTGATACCAAATGGCAGGTCAATAGTCCCTGAGGCACTCAGACAAGTCATCATAAATCAGATACACCAGATTACCCACCTGGGAAAAACAAAACTTGCTGAGCTGGTCAGAGGAAAATACTTTATGCCTAATCTAGATAGCATTATGCACTCCATACTGGGAGGAATTTTCCCCTTATGAAATTATGTTTGGAAGATCTTCACCTCTCCTCCTGAGATTGAGAGTGGAAATGAAAGCCGAAATCCGTAACTATACTTTACTCAAGCTTTTACAGGCCCTTGACTCAACCCAGAAGACCATTCACTGCCATGTTCAAGACGCTCTGCCTGTCCCCATCTCAAACCTGTCCATCCATCCCAACTGGGAGATTCTATATGGGTTGAGAAAAAAAAAAAAAAAAAAAAAAACCAGAATCCCTTCTTCCCTCAAAACACACAAGGTTTGATTAATCTCTCTCCTTGAGACTATTTTCTTCACCCGTCAGCCTACCCAGAACAACTGCCAACAGTTCCTCCAGACTCTCTTTACCACTAAAAATCCGTGGGAAGGCCGTGAACTTGTCCTGGATGCCCACAGCCAGCCCACTGCTGACCCTGTCGCCACCAAGTGGCCTTTCGCGGCTGGTTGACCTACTTGCGATCCACGTCTGGACAGTCTCTGCAGGCTCTCCTGGCGACTCTCGCTGAGACCCACCGCCCCGTCCGCAGCCACTGCCCGGCCCCTGTGGGGTCGACATCCTCCTCACAGGCGGCCTTGGACCCTGGGGCCCCAGTTTGGGTCAGACACCACACTCCCGGCAGCCTTGACCCCACTGGGACAGAACTTTCACTGTTATCCTAAACACCCCTTCTGCTGTCTAGGTTACCGGGAAGCATCAATGGATTCCTCGCTCTCACTTGAAGCCTGCTGCCGGGCTCCCTGACGCTCCCTGATGCCCCCTGTTGCCCCCTGACGCCCGCTGCCTCTGGAACCCAAAGATGAGGACTTGAGGGACAGAACTATCGCCTCAAGGTCAAATTACAAGGTCAAATTACGCTGACTTTCCTGATACTTCTTCTCCCCCTCACCCTCCCCTCCCCACATAAACTTCCCTCTTACACCTGAATCCTCTCCACCACTGGTGCCTGCTCCTCTGCTGGCTCTTACAGTCCCCTTGTGGTCCAACCCTTTGATCACTGGGTTCACACCTGAGAGGGTGGACATTCTTTCGCCTTTATGTCTGGGACAAGGACCCCTTACATCATTTTTACCATTCAAAAACACCTTGTCCCTCATCCCCCAATCCTGCCAGTCTTCTCTGGCCCATCCTTATGAGCCTGGGCCTCAATTCTATACCAACCACTCTGGGGTCATTAGGGACTGCCTGACCAGCTTCGCAAACGTGTCCTAAAGTGTAAGGAGCACCGCTCCTCTGAGGGTAATTGGTATCAGTCTCTCTTCTCTTGGTCTCCCTGACTCACCACCTTCATCTCTGCCATCGCAGGTCCTGCCCTGCTTCTCCTCCATGCCCTTCTCTTTGGCCCCTGCGTCCTCCATTTTCCCATTAACTTTGTTCAGGACTGGATCCAACCTGTCAAGCTCATGGTTCTCCGCTCCCTCTATGAGCCGCTCCCCTTCTCTGAATCAATGATTTGATTCTCCGGATCAGAAGGGGGGGAAGTGTGGAAGGCCGCATATTAGATCTTGCCCATGAACAACTGTTTGTCCATTTTGTTTCCTTACCATAACGTGGCTGTCTGCTTCTGTAAACCTGCTTGCTCTTCCGTGAGAAATAGCTTGTGCTAGCCATACAGAAAGCCATACCCAGGACGACATCCTGTACCTGCTACTGTCTTTGCTAACTAGCCCGAAACCCTTTTGTTTAGCAATGGAACTGCTTGCATGGAAACCCCACTCCCCTCAGAAATAATTAACCTGCTTGGGACCAGCAGTTAGCATAATGGCTATGTCACTGGACTCCCATGTAGTTGACTGTGGTTCACGTCCCGGACCCGGTGGCTTAAACTCACGCCAGGCGCATGTGCGTGCGTGCCCAAGATCCCGAGAGGAGAATGGAGGAGTAGGGACTGTGGCGTGGCCATACCCCCTGGGGGGTGATTTCTCGCTTTCTGTCTCTCTCTCTCTGTCTGTCTGGCGAGCACACGCGCCCTCTCAAAAAAAAAAAACAAAAAAAAAAAGAATTCACCTGCTTGATTCAGCTTCTGTAACTGCTTGCATAGAAACCCCTGGTAACTGACCGCCTTAAAAAGACTACTCCAACTTGGGAATCAGCAGTTAATGTAATGGCTATGTCGCTGGACTCCCACGTAGACGACCGTGGCTCGTGTCCCAAACCCGGTGGCTTAAAAAAAAAAAAAACTCACACCGGGCGCGTATGCGTGAGTGCCCAAGATCCCGAGAGGAAAATGGAGGAGAAGGGATTGCGGAGTGACCATCCCCTCTGGGGGGGTGATTTCTCGCTTTCTGTCTCTGTGTCTCTCTCTGTCTGTCTGGTGAGCGCACACGCCCTATAGTGAAAATCTCTCCAAAAAAAAAAAAAAAAAAAAGACTACTCCAACTTCAGTCAGGGCTACAGTTCTGACTCTCGGTACCCCCCTCCCCAACGAGCCTCAGACTGTAGTCGCTGGCCCGCTCATCTTCACGGTAAGCTTGAAAGGAACCACCTTTCTCCTTTGACATTTCCCAAAGCTCAAGCGAGGGAGGGTGCCTTGCTTGGTATCACAGTCACGAATGCGCACCCCATCGGGTGGATCCGGCCTGAGTCCCATCAGCTGTGTGCACAGCCCATACTCACTGTCCACATCATAAACGCCAGGAGTTCTTAACGGGCCTAGTCTGTGCCCAGATATCTCTAGAACAGCTAGCCCAGGCTGCCCCACGGTGGGTCCTGCTGCCCAGGATAAGCTGCCGTGGGCTAGGGCGGAGCACCGGTGGCCACCAAGACCTCCCTCATCAAGAAGCTGAGGGCAGACGCCCACCGCGGATGATGACACCTTCGTTACCTACAGAACTTCCCTCCTGAAAAGTCCCCGACAACCTTGTTATCACGGATAACAATGACTATAGCTCAAGGCCACCCTGTTGACTGAAGGGACGCGAACCCGCGCCTCCCAGTGCCCTCGGGTGCCCTCGGCGCTCCCCCGCCCCCAAGGGGAGGGCCCGTTCTGGTTCCTTCTCCGCGACACCCCTTGCCCCGTCGCAGCTTCCTGCGCAGTCGCCGCGGCTATCCGGAACCCCTCCAGGCAGGGCGGACGGCTGGGCGCCTAAATGCCCGCTGCCAGCTGCCGCGGCCCTAGCGGGGACCCCAGCCCCACTTACGCCGATCGCGGAGCCGGGCGGCAGCCGCTCGCAGGGCCGCAGCCATGTTGGTGCCGACAGAAAGCATTCCTGGCAACCTTGCCTGGATCCGGGTTTCTCCCGCGGCGACGCGCTGTGGTGCGCGGCCAGCCAACGCCGAGCAGCAGGAGCTCGCCGCACACCGCCTTAGCCAAAGCCGCCCAGCCCTGCACCTTAGCGAAGCGCCCGCTCATTCGCAGCCGTGCCCGGCCTGGGCCTCCGGGAGGGGCCAGGAGAAGCCACGCCCCTCTCGGAAAACCCGCCCCGGCTCTGCGCGCCCGCAGCTCATTTGCTGCGGTGCCTCGGGGCGGGCCTGGCGAAGACACGCCCCTAAAGGGAAACCCGCCCCGGTCCCGAGCTCCTACTCATTCCCGCCCGGCCGGCCCTCGGTTGGGACAGGCGGAAGTACAACCCTCACCGGGAGCCCGCCCCGGTGTGGGTCGTCCCCGGCGTGAGAAAGGGCCACCGGCATCGCTAGTGCCTCCCTACCACTCTCACAGGTTGGTGCACTAAAAACCCGCTCCACCTCTGGTTACCCTGGGCTGATGTCCTGGTTTACCTCTGCCAACCTGGTGAAGGCAGGAACCCCAGCCATGACTCAGCAAAGACTTTGCAGATATTTGCGTTTACTGCTGCTTAGCTAGGAGAAACGGTGGCCTCAATTTTCCAGTTTTCCTGCCTAGGCAGAGCACACTAGTGCACACCCTCGTAAGTTCTGCCTTGTTTTCAGAGTAGAAAAGGGATTCTTTTATTATCATATTATTCAGTTACTCTGCAGCATCTCCGTTTGACAGTTTGACAGATGAGCCAGGAAGTACAGCTAACATGACAGCCTGAGAAAAAGTGAAGGACAGCCTGGCAGGGGCAGTTCTTGAAGGGATGAGGCTTTTCAGTATGATATCCGCACACCGTCACAGTTCTGCTGCTCGCCTTCAATCTTACACACAGAGGCAGGGGGAAGGGCAGGTGTGCCCCCTCTGCCCCCTCCCCGTTTCCAGCCACCCCTGCATTCCCACACATCTGCCCGCCCACCGTGCCCATACTACCTCACTTCCAATGTGTCATGGAGTAGGACACCAACCCTTGCTACAAGAAGGTCTCAGGCCTCATTCACTCACTGAACAAACCCTGAGCACCTACCGTGCACTGGAGAAAGAGGAGCGGACAGAGCAAAGAGGCTTACAGGGGAGTCATGCGGGACAAAAAAAAATAATAATAGGTAATTTTTTTAAAGGTTTTTGCCATAGGGCGCATGCGCTCGCTGGAGAGAGAGACAGAGACAGAGGGAAAGTGCCCCCCCCCCCCCCCGTAGGATGGCCACACCACAACCCCATTCCTAGTCGCCTCCTGGGATTTTGGACACCAGCATGCCTAGCATGACAGAAGCCACTAGGTCCAGGACTGGAAGCGCAGTCTGCCCTGAGGAAGTCCAACGCCTTCACCACCGCCACCTGCTGGCCCCCAACATGCGGTATTTTGGATAATGTTAAAAGGAGAATGAAGCAGGCTATGGCAGGCAGGGGTGGAGAGGCAGCTTGAAACAATGGGCAAAAAGTAGGTAAGGGGGACTAGCAGTTACCGTAATGGCTATGTCGCTGGACTCCCACGTAGTCGACCACGGTTTGAGTCCCAGACCTGGTGGCTTAAACTCACGCCGGGCGGGTGTGAG